GATCGGGTCCTGACCTTGGGCAAGCATGCTGAAGCAGCCGTGCTCGAATTCCTGGTCCAGCAAAAGATCACCTCGCGCGGGGCGGCGGCCGTCCTGAAGCACCTCCGCATCCTTCATCGTTCTGGGGTGCAGAACGCCATGATCGAGTGCCACCAGCGGCTTCTGCAAACGACGGCCATCCGATATCCCGCACCTGGACACACACAAGACATTCTCGAGCCAGTAGTTTAGTAACCGAGCAAGAAGCCAATACATGCATACGTAAGAGAGACAACGGCTGGAATCGAACCATCAACCTCAGAGAAGACTCTGTGCTTTTCCAATGAGCCTCGTTGTCGTGGAGATGGGGGGGGGGGGGGGGGGCCCCTTGTGGGCTCTCTGAAGGTTTTGGAGTCAGCGAACGCTTGGAAGGAAGGCTGGAGATCTGCGCAGTAGCGTTAAAAAATTAAAGACTGATCTCCAAGCTTGGCTGTCGGTCTGCGAGTGTGGCTGTGAGCCAGTAAATTTGAGTGTCGATTGCCTGCTGACAAGTGTCGCCGTATTATTGGTAGATAACGAGTCAATAGAATAATACCAGCCATGACTGGCTGCCCTCAACTCACACTATCGGGACGCATCTTTTTTTATCAGGACGATCAAAGAATCCCGGGCTCATTTCTGAATTTACCGGCTCTAGAGCACAGTGCTCCTGAGCCAAAGTTGCATCAAAATACATAGAAACAGAAAATCGCGATTTTCTCAGCTCACAGAGCGTTTCAGGCGATTTCCTGCCGCCTATAAACTCGACACAAAACTTGCTCTCTGGGCATTCCTATCACTGTTTTAGTTCCCCTAATCTCAAACACATGACTTACACAAATTTCATGTGTTCTACATTTACGTGCCAGCTTTCTGGTACAAGTCGGAGAGGTCGGAGGTCGGAGATTTTATGGTATGGTTATGTGCAGGATTTTAGTCTTTATAGGGATTACTTTAAAGTAATCTGTGGTTTTTAGTCGGTCCTTTATCCCGGTTGAAAGAATCGACGGCACTCGATAAGTAAGAGTGGTTAACACGGTGTATAATCCCGCTGAAGCGAAACGGAGGAGGGAAGACCTTAATCTTTACTCCCCATTCCGCCTACCCATGGGTTTTTCATTCTACTAGTAGGCTCCACAGAGTATTAGTTTGTGAATTCGTATCATCAAATCTTGAATGTGCGCTCGTAAATTGCTAGTGGAGAGAATAATTGTGATTTTCTTGGTTTCAAACAAGCTTCAGAAAAAGGTGCGGCTAAATGTGGTGTGGGAATGCGGGTCCACACATATAGACGAAGTATCAGGGAAGGCGCGTATTGGTCCTAGAGATTTACAAATCGTCTCGGCAGCCTACCTACTCTATCAAATGGGACGGCGGCATGGTAAAAACTGTTGCAGTCCTCTCGTTGAACATTGAGGCCAGCAATCCTTGAGAGGGGTCATCTTCAGTGCTTCCGAGCTGGGGCAATACCCTCTGTGGCGGCTCCTCACATGAGTTGTAACGATATCCCCCTCTTGATAGCTCTTCGACATCCCAGACCAAGAAGTCAATAACTCAAACGTCGACAGCTGTGATGGAGATGGAAGCAATTGCCATCGTCCGTTGCAATGTGGAATAGTACTTCGTGGACCAGTACTTCATGAAAAAACTCTCAAAGAAAAACTACTGCGAACAAGCTGTAGTTATAGTTTGGATAACACTCGATTCAATCTCAGTTCTCAATTTGCCTCGTAACAGAGACTCAAGGCCAAGCACACCATTAAAGGCAAGACAACAGCGGCGACGTAGACGAGTTTGAGAGTTTGGGCACTGTTTTAGCGAACGATTGTGTATCTTTGCCGTGGGAAAAAAGTGTACTCGTCCATCAAGCTGCCCATATTCAGCCTCAGCAAGCATCGTTGCGCTTATCACCGCACTTAGTGTGTGTCTTTGTCAAGTGTTTTTACTTGATGTACACGACAAGCTCCATTCGGAGCACACTCGAGCACATCAACACCAATCTCATGTTGTCTAAATATAGAACTATTGGTGAAGGGGGACTGTTTTGATGGGTGGGAATCCGTTTGGCAATGCCATTGGGACCTCGACGTTGCTTGATAAAAGTTTATTGGAGAAGGAATCGAATAAGAACCAGTGCGACATTAGCAAACTATGACGAGTGATTCCAAATATTTTCGGCATACTTTTGAGCAGATCCTAGACTCTCTTGCTTTTGCTGACTCGACACATCCGTCTGACCCGGAAGGGGGGGGGGGGGGGGTACGACCAGTGATCGATAACCTCAACGCCCAGCGTCTCAAAGTGATATCACCCGGTGATATCATTATTGTAAATGAGTGTATGAGTGCAAGGAGGGCAGGAAGAAAGCTAATGCGGTGAATAGTTGCCGCACAAGCCAAAATTGCTCACAAGCCACATGTCATAGGTACAGAACTAAAGTCGGCTGCGGATGGCGAGACAGGAGGTTTACTAGGCTTCGATATGATTGAAGGTGCAGCTAGACAACAGAGAAAGCAGGACTCCACGGAGTATGGCGAGGGAAGCGCGGTCCTGCTACGACTGGCAACACCGTACAAAGGAACAGGGAAAACTATACCGCTGACAGTGCGATTGCATCCGTGAAGACGTTGGTCAAAAGCTGCAGACCCTACATGGATTAAAGTTCATGGGTATGGTGAAAATGGCTACGAAAGAGTACCCAAAAGATCATATTAAATAGTGGTACAGTGCCGGCCTCGCTCGAGGATCATGAGATTTATTGCAAAGCGCAATGGATGCAGGATTGCCGATGTACGTAGCGTGTTGAGCGGATTGCAAGGCAAAAACCGTCATTGCAAATGGGGAAGCCACGCTACCTGCAACTGATAGTGTTTGCATTTGTCACCGTGTAGAAACACGAATGGCGTTTCAGAGACTGTTCGCTGCGAAAAGCAAGTTAGTGGGACATATCATCAAATATGGTTTATGTACCATATATCCCCAAATGATGGGGCTTTCTAACTCTAAGTTTCTTGATTGCTGCCCACGTTACCACCGAGGATCACGTGCTATTGGGCGGGAATGTAGCATTAAAAATGGCAGCATCTCTATTCGGAATTGTCTTAGGCATGGTTGTGGTAGAGGTATAACTCGCGCATCGTCTCGAGATTGATGCCGCAGCAATTATCGGTTCAGGTACCGTAGACTTCCCAATGTTATGTCTACATCTCGCTCATCAGCTCATTTCAATGAGTGTGCGACGAGACGCTTCCCACGACAGCACGGACGCCTCGACACAAGTGTGGACGATATGGCACGTGCCTTGTCACGTGACACGCGTGTAAATTTAACAGAGCTGTATTCATTTTGTACTGACCAATGCCTACCTTTAGAACCTCCTGTGGTATTCCACAAAGCGCGGGAGCTCGTCAACAGCACAAACGTGTCCAGCGAAAAAGCAGTTTATGCGGTAAGAAGTCATCGTACTTCTGTGCGCCATGTTCGGACACTTCAACGCGAATTTATCTCCACGTGCGGTCCGAAATTGAAGTAAGACTGCTTTGCGATACCCATCAGCGCGTTAGAGTGATGCAGTGATACATACAATTTCAATATAAAAATATCACAGATTCAATCCTACAAGTAATTGAAGAGGGCATGGTCACGGTCTACAGCTAGATGGTGGATTCACCTTCCTTGTGGACTGCATTCAGAAGGTCTGTTCTGTACAGGCTCAACGTGCTACATCCTACAAACAAGGGCAAGAGGAGCAGACGTCGGTGTTCCACGTGTGAAGTCGGACTGGAATGGAGGGAATGTGAGGGTACCTCGTTGTGACCCACCACGTAGGAGAGATTTGTGAACAGGTAAGGAGCTTCTAGGTCGTAGGGAGACCGTGGGGAGAGGCTCCGTCGTGTTTTTCCTTCTTAAGAAAGAAGTACTCAGAATATATCAAGTTACATTTGGAATTATCGCTCTAGTTCTCGTTCCTACGTCGGCCTGCTAGATACACTACCCCGACACTAAGGAGGAAAACCGCGACAGTTTGGTGGAGAAGCAGGGTATCTTATCGCCGGATTATCGTGGAAACGAAAGCGCGGAGAGAGTAACTCGAAGTTCCTTGGCAACGGAACGCCAAGGCGAGGGAAAAGGGTAGCGAGAGCGAGACATGAGCTCTCATGGGTGGTCCGGAGAGGGACTAGGAGAGGAAGCGGTGAGGGGCTCGGTGGATGGGCTCCCCCGCTTGAGACGGAAACGCCACCTCCTGTTGAGATCCGCGAAGACGAAGACGAAGAGCACACAGGAGGGTCCGTCGAGGGTGACGTGCGTGGAAGGATTCCGACTGGGGGCGGTTCGGACGATGGCTCGGAACGCGGAACGCCAAGGAGAACCGAAATCAGGGCCCAGGGCCGCGAAGCTCGAGAGACTCGAAGGGACGACGACGGCACGTTTGGGTCTGCACCCCTATCTCCAAGAGCGAGAAGGATAGCCGAGTCGGTGTTGGACACGCCCCTGGGCCGAAAGATGTTCAACCAGTTCCTCGCGCGACTGGCACAACAACCAGCGCCGAGCGAAGAGCCGACACCGGCGAGGACGACGGCTGGTGAGACCGCGGAAGCCGCGATATCGACCTCGAGAGCTCGGCAAGGAGACGCGTTCTCCTTTGATTTGTCAAGGCCGTCGCTACCTCTTGTGAGTGAGACGCGAGGCGAGGTACCGACAGTAACGCCAGCCGGTGCGGCGCTCGACACTAGGGAGACGACGAGGCACCCTTCTCCGCGTGTGGTGGAACGCCATGGTGTGGCTGGAACGCCGTATCCAGAGAGTGACACCCCTAGAAGGCTAGGAATGACGCCAGTTCGGACGGTGGAGGCGCCGACAAGGAGGACCAGAACGCCGACGACGGACTCTGTGCTGCAAGAAATGCTGGTCGACGCGTTCAGTCGGGCACCCCAGAGACTGTCCGTCTCGGCAGGAACGCTAACAAGGACGCCGCGATCCGAAGGGGCGAGACCTGTGTCGCGCCCAGGCCCGGCGTCTACAGGAAACGCCTTAGTCAGTCAGACGCAACCGGTTAGCACACCGATGCTCGGGTATCAGGGTCCGATGGTTCCCAGGGTGGCGCTACCGGCGCCAGCTTCGACGCCAGTGGGATTGCCGATGGCTGCGATCCTGTCATACGGTGGCGTGACTATTCGGGTACCGAGCACCAGCAGGAACGATGGAGGGGACGGCGCGGCACGCCTGAATGCTCTTTACCCGCCGTTTCAGCCTCCGATAACGCCTGCGGCTGGATGGAACTCTGGTGGAACGTTGCCAGCGTGGTCGACAGCTCCCGCAACTCAGGCGCCTGTGAGCATGGGAGGCCTTGGGATTGGTAGGAGCTTCGGTGGTCAAGGAGGAAGCTACCAGACGCATTCGGCGTACCGTCAAGGGCCTGTGACGAATCGGACGCACGACCACGGTGGTAATTATGCTGTACAGGGAATTGGAACGCAACCAAGCCGGAACGAGCCGATAGTGGGCATCCCAACTGTGTTGAGGAACGCCGTGAAGGTGATCGTTCCGTTCTACTCCGACACCGCTACGAGTGAAAGGGCGGCGGCGTTTTGGCGTTCCTTCGAGAAGTGCACGCATGGTATGGACGGCCAGATGAGGTTGACGGCGTTCGAGCAGTGCCTTAAGGGCAAGATTGGTCAAGCGTGGTGGTACAACTCCAGAATCGATCGTTTTGAAGCTCTGAGGGTGCGGTTTCACAACCGATTTATCTGCCAGACTCCTGCACAGCTGTGGAGCCGACTCAAGGCTGCCAAGAGGAAGCGTGGCGAGTCTACCGAGGAGTGGCGCGACAGGATTTCGACAATGTGTGAAGCCTTGAACTACCACGAGCCTCGTATGAGGTACGATCTCTTCTTGGATGGCCTGCGGAATAAGCAGATGAAGGCGGTATTGAACGCGAGCATGGTCACGTCGATTCCCGAGGCATGTGCGCTACTGCTGTACAAGAATCTGCATCTCCCAGTAGAGGAGGAAGACGAGTTCGCGGGCGAGATAACGGGACAACCAAGGACGAATAGAGCGGCTTCGACGGAATCCCAAGTGCTCCAGGAGCTACGCCAGATGAATCAGCTGATGAGACGCAAGCTAGAGCCAGGAACGCCGAGAGGGCAAGTCAGCGCTGTGGCTCCTCCGACCTCTCCGCGTGGCGGCGTTCCAGTTGCGAACAGGAACGTCACGGGTTCAGCCCTTGGACCTCTACGTATTTGTCTCGGACCACACACGCGTACCACCGAGGGTGAAGTGGTCTGTGGTCGCTGCGGTCGTATTGGGTGCAGCCGCGAAACTTGACCAAGAGGACAAGGTCGTTGCAACAGATGCAACGAACTGGGTCACTACGCCATGGTATGCAACAGGCCGACGCTTCGAAGAAACTATCGGAACGGAGAACGCCGAAGAATGGAGTGTTTCCTCTGCGGCGAAGGGGACCACACAGTGACCAAGTGTCCTAGCCTCGAGAGACTACGTGGCGCGGTGCGGAGCGCGACAACCGGAACGCCAACCGGTGTGTCCCAACAGTGAAGGGGGGCAGGAGGAAGGGGAAGGAAGTGTCGCTCCTTCCTCTTGCCTGACTGGCGACACAGAGGGAGATGAGGGCTCACCAATAACTACTGGTGAGGTCAAGGAGACTCTAGTGAAACGTGGGAAAAATTATGAAGGCGCTCGTAGCGTTCCTGTCGCGAGCGTAAGGACGGAAATTGTGGATATTGAAACTGGAACGAATGCCAAGGGCAGTCCAACGGAACGGACTGGCTTTACGACCCCGACACTAAGGAGGAAGACCGCGATAACATTCGCCTCAAGTTTATTACTTCAGCGATTCAACGTAGCGATTTCAGAGCTCCGTTCTAGCGAATCTAGCAACAATGAGTGGGCTTGAAGATACCTTTTGCACTCACCCTTTTCCAGGCATTATTTGGAGCTAAGACCCGAAGCATTGTCCTTGTAGATAAATTGCAACAAGCTCTCCACAAATGCTAATTTTTGGAAGTCGATCGTACTTAAAAGAGATACGTACTGTAAGTTTTTAAGATCTATGCAATACCAGGATCAATTGACCCCAAAAGACTGGAACCTTGACAATGATTGTGAAAACTACCTGGACGCTACCGTCTTACCCCGCATATTAGACATGTGTTCTAAAACGAGGTCCTGATTGAATCGAATTGAAATTCAAACTCCGTTTTAAATACAAATTTAAATAGAGCACATGATCCGAAAATGGGTTGGTCTAATACTCACCAGTCAACCGTTCCAACAGTCCTGAGCCGCCCACTAGTCTTTTGAAATAGCCTCCTTCACTTTCCTTATTTCTTCATTCTACATCTTTCGTCACGATGAGTAGCGAGAGGCAAAGTTACAGCAACAACGAGAAGCTCACAGTTCTGGCGGACTACGAGAAAGGTGTTATAGGATATGGCTTCGTAGCTCTTAGCGCTAAGTACAACGTGCCGGTGGAGACATTCCGAGGGTGGCACGAAGTCGAAGACCAACTGAAAGCCGCCGCCAAGAACCGCCAAGTTGCAATTCGCGTGTCGCGGTGGTTTCGTCTTAGTGGGGCTGGGCACAAACCAGCGCGCTCAGAGGTCAAGGAAAGGCTTTATGAGTGGGTTACGGCTCGTAATGCAAAAGATCTTCGCGTCAAAGACGCGCACATTCGTCCACAGGCAATGAACATCTCTCGGTTGCGCATAGTGACGACGCTGCCGGCTTTGAGACCTCTTCAGGCTGCTTGTCCAGGTTCAAGAGACGCCGAAACCTCGTCTCCCGCCGCCAGACAACGTCACAATCGCTTCCAGCTGATGCACCTCAGATCTACCGTTAATTCATTCAGCAGGCCCAGTACCTCATCGAAAAAGCATAATATCTAGCCTAGAAATATTATCACCCAGGGTTGCGCACAATCATATTGTATTTTTATTGGCAACCTTGCTCGAGGTCAATCAAAAAATTGTTTATTGACAATTTTTTATCACTCAACTCGCCGTCGAGTACGACGCTATACCTGCTGAACGGCAGATGCAACAAGCTGGGGGCCCCACAAAATACGATTATACTCGAGGAAGAGAAGCGTCTCCAGCGTGGTTGGGTGCATCGCCCGCCGATTAACAGTAAGCACCAGGCCTGCCCGTGAGAAGAGTCTCTCTACTTCATTAGAGGTTGAAGGAATCCAGTCCAGGGAAATATAGCGAGAATGATGCAGTTGGGTCGTATCACGAAGTGCACGATCAGCAAAGGATTGATCGACATTTTCGTCTGCATCTTCACGGTCGTTGCCGTGCGTGTCTACCAGGCGACTTATAGCCTGAATCTCGGTTTGCTTCAACTTGGACTCTTTCTTGGACAGCACTTTAACTACAGCATTCTCGAAGTGAGGAGCCTTAACGACGTTCGCACCAGCCGTTAAAAACTTTGCTGTTGCTGGAAACTCCTTGACGACTGCATCGAAAAGGCAGCGAACGTTGAGTAGCGAAGCTTCGGGCTTACTTCCACCGCTAGCCTGTAGACGCTTGCTGACGCTCTCCAGCTTTTTCATTCACGAGAAAATAGACTCGAGTTTAACCTCTTCGACCGGTGTTAACAGCACGTCTAACAGCTTGCGGTCCGAATGTCGACGAAATCCGCAATATCAAATTAGCGATCCAGCATCTCAAATGTGCTGCTCCAACGTGTCTTGTTATTTGTGATGGGCATGAGCGCTCCAGCGTCGCGTAAAGCATGACGGTTCTTGATTGTGCTAAGTCTCGCCATCAGGTCGTGGACTTTTTGTAGGAGCATTTGATGCGGCCTAGGAGCCATTGAACAGCCAGCTGACGTCGATGGCTCGCACACCCGATCATCGGGATCTGTGTCCTTGCCGAAAGCGCAGTGTTCACAGAGGCGTGATCACATACGTAGAACATCAGATTGGCGGCGTTTAATCGATACGTATCCATCGCGTAATCCAGGAGGTCAATGAACGAGTCGGTCCCCTTCATCAGCGAACGTAGAAAACACGAGTAGAAACTTGTCTCCAACTTGAGCATCAGAGGCCGAAGAAGTCACTGCTATGATGGCGGCATAGTGAGTCCCAGCTTCCGTCCATGCGTCCAAGAGGAATCCGAAGGGTTTGCCAGACAAACGTTGACGAACACGAGCCTGCACCGCAACCTCGACAGAGTCGAGATCTTGCTTCAGCAAATACCTGGAAATGGGCTCCAGCGACGTGTACTTGCGGGCTCGTGGTTTCTCGCAAAAAGATAGCTCATGGTGCTCCAGTATCACCCAATCCATCCAGTGGTAGCGGTTCATAATGGCCCCATCAACCGTAACGCGAACGTAGTTATCAAGTGCGTTTGGGCGGCGGGCAAGGATGTAATACTCGTCCAGATACACGCCGCGATGGTTACGGTTCAAGTGGTCAATCACGGACGTGAAACCACCGTTTCTTGGCTTGGCACGGCTTAGTGGACACAAACGGCAGTAATATCGGTCGTCTCGTTCTTCGAACAGCACGGCACAAAGCTGGCGCGAAGTTGGAGCTGGTATAGAACGGTTTGCCATCGTGAGGAGAGGAGAGGGGGCTTGAAGGAAGAGAGCGAACTTGAGGGTCTCGCAGGAAATTGCAGAATGAGGATACTTTAACAGCTTACATTTGGAGTACGTAGGTGTTAGCCTAGCAGCTAGGGTTCTCACGTGAAAGCTCCCAGACGTGCGCCATGATACGCAAGAAGAAGGGTGCACTAAACGCTCCTTAAATCAAGCCATTACATTGTTCATAGAACGCAAGAATCAAGGTATTTAGCCAGCAGCATACACGAATCGTTTTTGAACGCAATTGGTACCGCGCTCAAACAATAATTGTATGCGGTTTTATTGGAATAATTGATCCATGGTGATAACATGGTTGCGTAACAAACAAATGGTGTTTCAGGTACCGCGTTACTTTGAGACTGAGGTGAAGTCTACAACTACTACTTGTGGTTCATGAGAAGCACTACTAAGAAAAGGCGGCTCAAGCCACAGGAGGTTTACGGCAGGTTTTACGATCACAAGAGATGGAAAAGTGCTGACCCTTCACTGACTCTTTTCCAAGCTAAAAACCAAGCCTGTGTGTCCTCCTGGCGTAATGGTCGATGTTAATGCCACCGAAATGTGGAGAGCCGACATCTTTTGGAGCAGTCCAGGCAGGTAATGTGTGGTAGAATGTAGACGCAGCTATACCGTGAGCCGGTTCTCTACCTCATAGACTCCTACACCTGTCACGTGAAGCTTGCAGAGTCCAAGCGGCTTGAAGCGTACAACGGTTTTGTACAAATTGTACCATCAAACATGACTAACATCCTACAACCCCTCAATGTGGCAGTTAATCGAAGCTACCAGGAGTTCTACAGAGGAAGGTATGACGACTAGCAGGCACAAACAGACCCTTCAGTGCAGACAAAGACCGGTAATCCAAAGGTGCCTCGGTATGCTACTGTGGCGCAGTGGACGCTGGATTGGGTGAAAAGCAAGGAAGAGCACAGTATCAAACGAGTGTTTGCGCAGTGTGGTCTGGTCCCAAAGAAGGACTTTGATGTGAAAGCTCTCCATCCACCGCTGCATGATTTGTGGCTCGAGATGTCGATATGGATCGCTGGAACGAACAATACTGTACTATCGCTGATGCAGACAATAGGGGCAGCTAGATATCGCAGCGCCGACGTGGTATTTGCCCGATACCCGTATATTCAGCTTGTTCTGCTGCCTGCTACACGACATCGGACCGCCTTTACAGGAGTATATTTCAAGCTACATAGAGACATTGATCGACCTTGATGGTCTCTGTGATGGTAAGTACCTGGACAATGTCCGAACCGGGACGGAGGAACCTGGCGAATTGGACATTTTTTTGCCGCTGCTCAGATGCACAGCTGGGAAATCGAGGTGAACACTGTAGACAAGAATTACACGCTGCTGTCCAAGTTTTGCTACACTGTAGAAAACCCAACACAAACCGTGATTCTAGCTCGGATAGGTTCATACATCGCGGTGAAGGTAGACGGATACGCTGTTTAATTCATATTCGGTGCTCACTTCAATATTACTTTTAAAAACAAGAAACAAAACTGTTTTTTTTTCTTAAAGCAATTAATATAGTACCTCCGTTTTCATCGCAGCCACCGCTGAAAGAAAAGACCAGTTACAAATACACAACATGTGCACTGCACGCAGGCGGGTTTGAACCCAGGCTGGTTGATTAGATGGGTCAAATCTTACCGACCAAGCCAGATTCCAGAACCCACCGATTCACCGTTGCTCTGATTTGAACAGTTTGTTCGATGTACAACACATTGGTGTTCTAATCGAATAGAACACATATGCAGTCTTGTATTCATTTAGAACACACATGCCTAATATGCGGTGTAAGACGTAGCCCTACTCATTAAAAAATAATATATATTTGGGGACGAAGTCCCCCCCCCCCTATAATGATGTGATACTTTGATTTAGTGTGTTTTTACGACTGCTATATAAGCTCTTATTTACTTTTTACAAGTGTATCTATTAGTTCTTGGAATGGGTTAGGGGTTCAATTTATAATCATGCACACTGGGACCAAAACATGCGGGAAAAAACCTCGGTTTAAGAACATTTAGATTATTTGTTGAAGGTAAAATTGAGCTCTTCAATTAAGGATTCAATCAGAGTCATTACCTTGAAAAGTCACTAAAGGATAGGGTCGGCTTTGAAACAGGGAAATCACCCTTCACTATGGAGAGGCTAAGAAATGTCGTAAAAACTCACTTTTTATGCTCATTTCCCTGGTTTAACGACCCTTTATTAAGGGATGAACACCTGCTATCTCTTATAAAGCTGGTAAGAAGTGGAACTTGTAAAAATTAAGGCTATGCTGAAGAGTCGCCTCTCCAGAGGCGACTCGCTTTCAAGCTACTGAGGAGGAGGAAGAGCACTGGGAGCATTGGGCTGTGTCTGGGGGCCGTCCGACGCGTCGTCGACGTCTGGAAGAGCAGCAATTGGGGACCGTCGCCGCCAAGACGAGCCGTAGCAGAGGACCGCCAATGTCTGGGTGGACAGCAGCTACCGTCGCTGCTTGAACGCTGTAGCAGGGAATGCCGACGTTTGGGTGAGCTGTGGCCGGGATCTGTCGCCACGGGTGAGTGTGGCTGGGACCGTCGACAGGAGCATGCTCGACGGGTTGGGCATCGGATCCAAGAAGATCATGGCATTCCACAGGACACAGGAAATCGTACGGTTTTCCTGTTTCCAATGCTCCTGGTGCCCAAAACCTGAAGAGAAAGAAGGCGTGCTTTCATACGTTTACAAGAAGACAGAAATTAACTCCAAACGTGATACCAGTGATCCACACGACGTTGACTGTATGCCTGATGTTGATAATGATAGCAGTAGCGAAGAAAGCAAGTATGCTCTTCGAATGAGGAAATTACTATTGCGTAATCGGTAGAACTTGAAGCAGACTCTGCTAATGGTGAAACTGAGGCTGACAAGATTGCAAAAGTAGCAAGTCGAGCTGCAGGACAAATGTTGTATCCGACCGCGGATCTAGCTCGAAAAACTGAACTGATAAAGAATATACTACTAAGATGCTTTTTCAAAACTGCTATCCAACGCTTTTCCCCGATGGCCGAGGTGGTCTACATCCACCGAATGATGACTCGGGAAGAGAACATAACTACAATTTAGCCGAATATTGCGCACATTTAATGAAATGGCATGACCGCCGCTTTGTGATTCATGTATTTTTTTAAGTTTTTCTGCCTAAATCTCATTCAAAAGCGTCAAATAGGTGGTTTTGTGAAGCGTGTCAACTTACCATCTTTTGGGGAGTCAAGTGACTCGGCGGAACAAACCATTGGTTGTTCGGAAAGCGTTGAGGCCGATGCATCTGCGGCAATGAAGCTACTAGACTCTTTGAAACCTTTTTTTCGAGGTGTACGTGGTAGTGGACTTTACTGGGCAAGCGCCCGAGACGATTTGATGAGCATGATCGAAAATCGAGTGCTGCCTTCCCGTTGGCCAACATTTTTCCTAACATTGAGTGCGGCAAATACAATGTGGCCAGAATTCTTTCGAGCCTGTAACCCAGAGCGTTCATTAGCGGAAGCCTGAGCTTTGACGAGTACTGAGCGAAGGCGATACCTTAGTGAGAATCCTGACATTGCTGCACGACATTTCAATCGCCGATTCGATTCATTTTTTAAGCATGTAATTTGTGGTAAATTTAAATCTCTTGGAGAAGTGGATGACTACTTTTGGCGGGTGGAGTTCCAGCACCGTGGCTTTCCGCACATTCATGCATTATTGTGGATCAAAGACGCACCAGACATTATAGATCTTTCTCAGACTGAGTTCGGACGAGCCCGCATTGCTACGTACGTTGACACTGTAATATCTCTGCTTGCAAAAACAACAGAGGAGTTAGAAAATTGTACATGTACTACATGCAGCCACGATAAAAACAACGAATTCGATATTTTGACTGCCAGACCACCCGATGCATGTACGCCAGAGTGGGAATGTGATCTGTCTCAACTAGTGCAGCGAGTGCAACAACACATTTGCTTTTCAGAATCGTCCTGTCGCAAACGCGGAGACGCTTGTCGCTTCGGTTATTTTAAAGAGATTAGAAAAAAATACACAAGTTCATATCAACAAAGCCGATGACGGAGCTACATCGATGCAAATTCATTTGAAGCGAGAAGTGCCAACAATTAACAATTACTCTCCGGTCTTACTATCTTCTTGGAGAGCTAACGTGGATATTCAACTTATTGGCAACGCGTATGGAGCAGCCGAGTACACTGCCGCGTACGTTAGCAAAGCTGATCCCGACACACTTAGGTTTCGACAAGTAATTACTCGAGCGGTGAAGAGATGCGATCCTAACCTACCGAATTATGCGATCCTAAAGCGTGTCGCTAACGCAACCTTGTCCATTCGTGAAGTCAGTGCTCAGGAGACCTACTATATTTTACTGAGAGAGCTTCCTCTTTACGGAAAATCTAGGCAAGTTACGCAAGTTAAGACAATGAGGCATAGCTTGAGATATTTTCGAGTAGACGGCTCTGAACTATTCGATATCGAGGAGAGTGTAAACCGCAATGACTCGATTCATATTGCGCGGGTAGAAAAAGCTTACATGAATCGCCCACGTAATGAGCTATTCGAGATATGACATTAGCGACATTCGTTGAAAAATACGAGCTAGTCGATAATATTGCTACTAGAGCTGAAATTTCTAACTGTTGGAGGTGATGTGATGGCTACGGGTTCGTTAAGCTTCGTAGCAAAGCTCATGTAGTTCGTGGGACTCTATGGATCGCACCGGATTCTACAAACGCGAATTTTTGCTTTGCTGAAATCTTTCTCCATAAACCATGGCGGACGTTAGAAGAGCTACCCCAAACAGATGACGAATGCATTGAAACGTTTGAGCAAGAGCAGCAGAATGTGTTGGAAAGTGAGCTCCGCCACGAATCTAGCCTGAAAATATCACGGCAGGCCGAGCTTGATGCCCTAAAAAAATCGAGAGCGACTCAGGTGCACACTACACTACCTTCCTCCGAGTACGTGTTTGTAGGTGATGGGCCTGAAGACGAGTCATACCTAGTTGCACCAGGCGACGACAATACAAATGAAACTTGCACTAGTACTAATGATTCTAGTTTGTTTCAATGGACTGCTAAGCGATCGTACACGAGTGAGGATGTCACTAAGGCCAAGACGTTCATCAAAACGCACGTAAAACCTTGGATAAAGTTGCAAAAAGAGATCCGTCGAGCTCGTGAAAGCACCGCCTATTCAGAACCAAATGGAAGTTGCTATCAGTACCCTATAATTGATGTCAATAGTAATGTACAAATCGCCGTAATGGATGAATCCCAATGGGTACCATTTGCATTTGTCATGGTCCAATCTCGTGCTCGGCTTCAGGCATCGGTAAATAGTACAACGTGTGAGCCCATGCAATGATTATCCAGGGCGAAGGAAGAAGTGGAAAGAGCTGGCTCATTAAACACATAGTTAAGGACGTCCACAACGTTTTTTTTTTGTTGAGCACTCAGCTACTCGACGATCTTCAAAGCGAGTGCTACTATTAGCTCAACAAGGTACAGCAGCTTTCAATATTAAAGGACAGACGACCTGTTCGGCATTAGAGCTAACCTCTTTCTCTCGAAATGCATTCTCAAGTCCATATTCACCTATGACGACCCAGAAAGGAGGTGCAACAAAACTCAAACGCCTGCAAGAACAGTACAAAGATGTACATCTTGTCATTATTGACAAATTTAGTGTAATATCGTGCGGTATGTTGTACTGGATCGATCAAAGAATGCGCGAGATATGGCCCCAACATAGTCATCAACGTTTCGGAGGTAGAGATGTAATTTTTACTGGTGACTCAGCGCAGTTAGATCCTGTAATACCACATGCTTTAGCGACACCATCCTCTAAAATCAGTAGTCCTGTTCAAGTGTTAGGTCGCGAAATTTGGGAGGAGATTTCGATTGTATGCACATTAGCTAGTCAGAACCAAGGAAAGGCTGACTCAAAGTGGTTTGAAGCGTTGCGCCGTCTTCGTAGTAAGTGTCCAACGCAGGCGGATGTCAATTTATTTAACTCAAGATACTGCAAAGCCAGCGAAATTCCTACTTGGGCTGTAAAAGCACATAGCGTATTTGGATGCCGAAGTTGCTGAAGCGAATAACCATAACCTCAAAAGCTGTTCTAACCAGATAATTAATATTCGCACTAAAGATAGCGTTAAGTTAAAGCGACTAGCTAAGCACAGAGACGTATCGCCTAGCTCGATCGAAGCTCTTTTACATGACGCCGAATCATCCAGCTCAGATAGAGATCGTGTCGTTGGAAGACGTCTCAAAATTGCTGTGGATGCTCCAGTTAGCCTGACCTACAATATGGAACAAAGAGCAGGTCTGTGCAACGGGTCCAGTGGAGTAGTGTACGACTTAATATTTTGCAATGAGCTTGAGCTGCCAATAATACTCGTACAGATTTCAGACGAGTACATGGGACCCTCGTTCTTGCCAGATGTACCAAACATTGTGCCTGTCGTTCCTAGAAAAGTTAGCTGGGGGAAAAAATCTAGCAATCTTACAGTATTCCGCGAAGGGATTCCGCTACGACCCGCATATGCACTTACTGTTCATAAAGTGCAAGGCTTAACTTGCGATAAAGCCGCCTTTCACTCATTTTCCATTCCTAGCGCAGCTTTCGCTTACGTTGCGCTATCGCGAGTGCGAACTCGTGAGGATATTGTGCTTACAGCACCAGTGACTTTACAACAGCTGCAAACGTCAAGTGATAAACAACTGTCCTTTATTAACGAAGTAAAAAGAATTCAACAAACAGTTAGCTCAACTAAAACAAAAGCTGAATTACTTATCCCTTCGATGAAGCTGCTGGCATTACAGCACAATCGAGCGTTGGCACCGCGGTTATTCAATTTATTATCTTGTTGGACAAATTGCGTAAAAGTACTAACTTTACTCAAGATTACGTTGTTAAACTTGAAAACAATTGCTATCATAGCAAAACCAAACAACTGACTCATAACTTATCTGTATGTTGCAAATTAAAAAGGAATCCTTCTCTTACTGATAGCACAAAGTGAACAATTCACCGTTCTTGCGCCTACTAGATGATGCCCATAAAAACCGAATAACTTCCACTTAAACTTACGCGCGAGCAGTTGGGCGTGACTTGAAACTCTTAGTTTTTTTTGCTCTTCTTGAACTAGCGCGTATGAGCAGCTTGGCGAACACGGAGTTCATAAACCTCACGGCCTGCAATACATTAGCATCAGTAAGCCATACATGTGCCCAAACATTATAGCATTCTTGTACGTACGATGCTGCGACTTGGCCACCTTGTCCGCACGTGCGTGAGCTGCCCGTGCAATCATCATGATCACACTACGCCTGCTACCGTCGCCACTGTTGTCCGTCACTAACGGGTCCACTGCGACGACCATCTGCGCTTCCAAGCACAGAAGAAGCCTCTCCATCCTCGAGCAGCAAAGGCAGAGCCATCAGACCAAAAACAACTTCAACACTTGGTAGCGTAGCCACATGCTTGGCTGCCTGTCGTTGACCTACGAAAAAGCAATAAATATTAAATTAAACACCAACTTGAAGTGGAAGCACATGACTCACTTGTTCGCACTGGCATAGCAGATCCAGCTTGCGCTACGTGTTCACATCATCAGCATGTTAGACAGTACATCCTTAACTCAATCTACAGTCACCTCCTTACCATCACTGCCTGCATCCTCGCCCCGACTAGCAGCTGCCGAGGCACTGCTCATCATTCTCGATCTGGGAATGAAATATGATCTCTTTTGGGGGACGTCGTCCAAAATTATGTGTACCACATAATTTTAGGGGGCCGGCCCCGTTTAGCAACTCAGCGAACGTGAGATGCTCTCTACTAGTATTTAAAAATATCTTTGTTTTGTAATAATAACATTTATTTTTTTATAGTAAATAATAACTAAATAGGCCAAATTTTAATAATTTTGGAACCGGTTTCGTCCATTTGAAGCGTATTTTAGCCAATTGAAGCCCGGATCGGTTTTCTTCGAGAAGAATCCGTTTCGTCTCTCTCCTACTTTTAACTTATACTTTGTAAGGCGGTTAGATGCCATCCGATCTCGTTCTCCCAGCCTCATATTTGGATGCCAACCCACCGCAACAAGTGGGCCGGAGCCGCGCGCCAAATCTGCTGTCTTACAAATACCAAGACAAAACCAACATTCAGACGTGACTCCCGCCCCCATGGGTTTGAACGACACACGAGCTTTGTCGTGTGAGCGCGGGAAATTTCTCGCTTCCTCGAAGCGCCAAGCTTCCGAGCAGCCCGCGCCCACACTGGAGCCTAGCGGCGGGGGCCTGGCCAACCCTGCATCCGTAGACACCATGGTGACACCGCATGGTGTGAAACGCGCTCTTGGAATGGCGCCGACCTGCGCGCCACGCGACAAGAAGCTTAAGCTCGAGGTGAAGGAGGGCGAGCACTGTGGTCAGGAGACGGAAGAAAACCCCGGGACTGTTGTTATCCGCAGACAACGGTGCCTCGCTGTCCGTAGAAGCAGTCGCAGTGCGGCCTTGTCGCCTTTGAACACCGCATCAGCGGAGCAGATCCGGCAGCATCTGCGTGACGTAAGGCGCGAGCTATTTCTGCGTCCACTGCTGGCCATCGTGTCCAAGCTCATGTTCCACAAAGGGAATCACGGTTTTTTTAACGTACGGGTAGATCCAGTGGTGTGGAACATTCCACACTACTTTGAGGTTGTCAAGCACCCCATGGACTTGGCTATCGTCAAAAACAAATGCCTGAACCTCGAGTATGCCACGGCCGATGAGTGTGCAGATGAAATCCGCCTCGTGTTCAACAACGCCTGCTTGTTCAACCCGCCGGGGCACATTGTGCACGAGTCTGCGGCGATGCTGCTCAAGGAGTTCGAGTCGGACTACACCAAGTACAAGGCTAAAGCGGAGGCAATGGCAAAGCGCCGCAACGAACATTCATGCCCGTTTTGCCTGGATAACGTGTGCGGGATCTGCAATGAGAAGTGCATCAACTTTGAGCCGCCCTTCGTCATGTGCTCAGGTGCATGCCGTCAGCGCATTAAACGTCATGCAGTGTACTACAAGACCCCCGATGGACACTACCACTGGTGCTCTAAGTGCTTCACTTCGCTACCCAAGATGCTAACGCTGAAAGTGGCGCCTTCTTCGAATACAGACCACACAATTACAACGCCAACGACGGAGTATTCATTATCGAAGTTTGCTTTATTGAAGGCCAAATTCATGGATGAGCTCACGGAGCCCTGGGTGCAGTGTGACCAATGCAGCGGCTGGGTGCACCAGATCTGTGCGATGTTCAATGCTTGCGAGAACGCCGACGAAGAGGAAGAAGTGATGTACACGTGCCCGCTTTGTCGTCTCGAGGAGCTTGATGCTGAAGAGAAGAATAACGAGCTGGGAATGTCTCCGATGGAAACATCTGTCGAGGATTTCCCCGTGAAAGTGGATAAGGACTTCTTGAGGTCTCACAGCCCCGCGCTCAAGCGCAGAACATACACGAAAGATTTCACGCGAGCGCTCGGATTTGATGAGCAGATCGAAGAAAAGGTGTTTGACTATTTGACGCAAGGTGATATGGATGCTGTGGACGCTAGCACCATGTCGAGCTTTGTGACGAGCCAAGACCTGCAGTCATGTGGTTTGTCGCGGTTTATGCAGAAGTGGGTGCAGCAGCACTTGGAGAATCTCGGTGAACACGAAGCAGCGGAGTCCATTGCTGTGAAAGTGGTTTCCGCGATCAAGAGTTCGTGCCATGTGAGCTCAGTTGTGCGTGAAAACTTTCGGTCTCCATCACAAGAGGTAAGATCTAATGTTGTTGTCTGCAGTTGGGATGCTTCAAAATCTAACTGTTGTGTTTATTGTTGCAATGACCAGTACCCACAAACCATCGACTACACCTCGAAGGTCATCTTCGTCTTTCAGATGATCAACGGCGTTGAAGTCTGCATCTTTTCTATGTAAGTACATTCATGCGCATGTACCTATTTGTTTTTGTTTTGCAGTAAGCTTACTTAGTTCTGTGATGGTATTTAGGTATGTTCAGGAGTATGATAAGCACTGTCAGTTGCCCGCCAACCGAAACCGGACGTACATTGCGTACCTTGATAGTCTGGTGTACATGCGTCCGCGTCATGTTCGTACGAGCTTGTATCACCAGATCCTCATCTCGTACCTGGCTTCCTGTAAAGCCAAGGGATTTGAGTACGCGCATATTTGGGCATGTCCTACCACGCGCGGAGGTGATTTTATTTATTGGTGCCATCCTTCTTTTCAGAAGAACCCTGGCAAAGAGCGCCTTCTTCAGTGGTACCTGAGCATGGCCAAAAAGGCAAAGGAGCTGGGAGTCGTGTTTGCTTGCGACGACTTGTATACACGCGAATTCGAGCTCCTGGAAGAAACTCTTGATACGCAGCTTCCCCCATATTTTGATGGCGACTACTGGCCCAGCGAAGCCGAGCGGGTTGCCGCATCGCCTTTAAAGAGAGGAAGAAAGGAACCAAACACTGCGGGTGCGTGCAGTGCAAAGTTCCGCAAGCGAGTCAGTGAATCGGTGAAGTCGGCTTGTGAATCGCTGTTTGTCATTGCCTTGCAACCAACGTGCGCTGCCTGTAAGCAGCTGATAGTCAACGCTGCTTACTGGCGAGCGCCCAGTGTAGACACATACTACTGCAGCAAGTGCCAGGTAGTAGTAAAGACAACTGCTACTGCTTCTGGACAGGAGACAGTGCTTACTGAAGTCTCCTCAGCCAACTTTGCTGAAGCTTACAGCAATAGCAAGACGGAGGAACCGGAGATGTCGTGCCCGTTCCTTGACTACCGCCCCAACATGCTAAAGAATTGTGAAGAGCACCACTACCAGTTCGACAGCTTCCGACGCGCAAAGTACTCCACTATGATGCTCGTCTACCAGATTTCCTCTGCACAGCGCTCTGCTCATTAAGTGCACATTCAGCAAAGTGCAGCGTACTTGCTTCGCCATCCTCAGGACTTTATTAGTATTTGTTTAGTACAAGAAGAAAAACAGAAAATAAATGGGAATTAATGTTTGCGTGAAAGACCAGCCTTCATTGGTAAGCATTGAACGTGTGTAAAGACACATGTACTGTTGCCATTCCTCACTCGAATGAAATCGGAAGTGGTGCTGTGTCGGCCGTAGCATCATGTTTGAGGTTTTCAGCGTCGAGCCACTTTTCATATTGCTTGCAGAAGTTGACAGGATCCAACTTAATGGCGCTGTACATCTTCGCCAAACGTCCGCCGTCGGAGATGAACAAGTCCGAGTTCAGCTCTTTCCGGTCCTCGCAAATCATCGAAGCCCCAGCAGGAAGCGGTTTGCCACCTCCAAATGGCGAATCGAAGTAGTGTTTGTGGTGATACGCCTGCATTTCGCCAAAGATGATCCGCTCGACGGAATCCTGGGACGGAGGCTTGTTCAAGTCGTCATCCTCATAATGCAACCAGTCATCGTCGAGCTCCGGTCGCACGTGAAGATATATCTCGGTGAGCATGCTGAAACACGTGTACTTCTTCACCCACTGTACAACGAAACAAAACAAAAATTAATAAGCATTCATCGCGCACAGCCCATAAATGCTATCTTAGATAAGCGCTCCAAATATTTAACAACAAACCTGGTGGCCTAAATACTTTGCTTGCGACTTCACCAGCTTAAGAGCATACAAGCGCGGTAGCGGAATCTGCAAAGCAACCACACGCTGTTCACATACGACCCAGTCAGCACTGGTCAGTATAAGCTTGATCACAACCATCATGAAAGAATCGTCCGCCGTACCTTCAGCCAGACAATCGTTTGCCCTCGGCAGAGAGCATTTTTGATTATGTTGGGTTTCCTCTTGGTCAGCTTCTGCAAAATTCGTAGAATGCTCGTGATCGTCCTGGTAGACTGAATGGAGTACTCGTTCATGTCTTCCTCAAAGCGGATGGTGCGCTTGTCTAACTCCTTTTCGAGTGCATAGAACCCAGTCTTAGTTTCATCAGACTCTTGGCGAGATACCTGAAGATACGTGCCAATATCCTTGTTCATGAATTTGGTCAGCGTTGCCAGCACATTGGCCTCCAAGAAAAACTGCATGAAGTACTCTGCCTTACACGCATGACTTGCGCGAAAGTGCTTGTAAATCAGCAAGATGATCAAGTTTGACACGTCCAAAACGATTGCTTTCTCGCGAAGTATCCACTTCCAGAACTGATTATCGTTGCTGTTCTCACTGCCAGGAGCAGAGAAGTCGGTCATACCGTATTGGTCCGCGCCCGAGGGTCGTCGAGAGTAGAAAGTCTTCTTATCACGAGCGTTTAGCGCGCTGCCACAAGACAGGGTCACGAGGTTACCGAGGAATGTAGTGTAGTCGCGCATGCAGGGCAGGAAGAGCTGATAGAGCGCTTCTACACGCACTTCCCATTCGTCATCGAGAGTGTCGAGAGGCTTCGTAGCAAGATCAACATCACTAGACTGCTGAGACTTGAGCTCATAGTTGGCCCTGTGCAGGTACTTATTGTGGATCACCTCTCGCTTCTTCGCGAACTTCTTCTTCTGAAGGTAGTACGGGTCCTGTGGATCCAGCTGAATCGTGTCGTAGTATGGCTTGAACGTTTTGCAGTGTAGCACACCTTCAGCGTCATCCTTTAAAATAGAAGGGTCAATGTCGCTCCGCTCACGACGCAGTCGCTTCAATGCGTTAAGTTCGTCGAATCCACCCATAACAGCAGAGAACCACTCGTAAAAGAGCAATAGCAATCTCTTGATGGGGAAGCCGGGGAGCACGTTAAGTTGGCTGAGGCAGTCCAGAATGGACACCAGCGAGTACGATGGGCCCGTGATACCGATCATCATGAGCTGTCGGTCGAACACGGCATTCTTCTTGTGTGCGTTAAAGACAATCAGCAGATACACTAGCACCATATCCTGCTGGAGGTCGTTGATGAGCGAGTCCACCTGGTCCAAATCCAAATGCTGGAAGTTCAGGCCTCGGAATGCGTGGATTGAGCGCTGAAGACGCTCCGTGAATACCGTGAGAGCGCCGCACTCTTGCAGCAGCTCGTTGTTCGCCTTAGCAATCTCCATTTGGGCTAGGACACCCCCGCGGCCCGACGAGGATACACCGCTGCTGACCGCCGTACGAAGCGTGCCCTCTGATAGCAGCAACAACTCGCGCTTGGCACGGTAGCTCTTATCCAGTGTGCGCACGTTGACCGCCGACGTGTTCTCCATCTGGTTCAGCAGGATGCACACGCGCTCTCGAGACTTGCGGCGCGACGCCATGATTTTCTCCCAGCGTCGCACGGCATCGCCGTCTACCTCCGGATCTACGGTCTCCTCGTGCACATACGAGCAGAAGAAATAGGCGAGTTTCTCCTGGAGCGACAGCCCCTTAAGCAGCTCGTCCGTCTCCATGCTCGGAGACGACAGCTTTTTTGCAACTCGACAAACGAACTTGTATTGTCAAATCCGCCCAAATTTGCGAAGCGAACGGCGAATCGACGCTGCGTTGTTAGAGGCCAAAACTAAGAAAAATATTTTTATTATCCAATGAGATGCTAGATACACTTTGAAGTTGAAGTGACAGCAGTGCGCAAAAGACCATGGAGGAGGCTGCTACGCGGCAGCATGCCCACGCCAACACGGTGTACCATTGCTTGTACGCGTACTACAAGCTTGGCTACTCGAAGAAACACCTCGCGTATATCTTCAACAAGTCGGAACGGACCATTCGCAACTGGGTGAATGAATGTCTATCAGAATACTGGAACCTTCCAGCGCGTCAATCCCGCTAAAAGGCAATTCACGGATGCCCAACGACGCTGGCTGTTCGATTACTATCATGAACATCCTCTCGCGTACCTGGATGAAGCCCAAGACGCCTTCAAGAAAGCACAATCCGTCGACATCTCGAAGACTTCTGTCTGGAGAATAATTCACGAGTTTGGGCTCACATGGAAAGTTTTAGAGCGCCGCGCAATGCATATCAAGGAGCGAGATATTTTTCGCTTTCCCACAAAGCCACATTGATTGGTGCCACCAGAACTTGGTATTCCTGGATGAGGTTACCTTTGACAACCGAGGAATGATCCGCAAGCGCGGGTATTCTCTTCGTGGGAAGAAGGTTGCTATTCGAGGTGATTTTGAGCGAAAATCGCGAGTGTCCATCTTGGCATTTATTGGCGTGAATGGAATTCTAGGCTACTTCAGCACGGAGGGCACCTTTGATTGCTTGGAGTTCACGAAATGCTGTCAAGACTTTGTTCACTGTGGTGGACCAGTACGCCAATATTCTGGTCGTAATTCTGTTTGGATGTTGAATGGTGCTACAATCCACAGGCACCCCGGGACCATCTACTACCTTCGAAGCGTTGGCATTGTAGCAATTTTCTTACCCGCATATTGCCTCTTTGAATTCCTGTTCGGCTACATTTCAACATCACTACCTCGAGACAATGGGGCGAGACTTGATGCCCTTTGTTGTCCAGACATTCCACCGATACCAACGGTTCAATATGAGTAAGGTTTTTGAGCACTGTGGCTGGAAGATTCAAGGATACTTTGATCCTGTCGGGTCGTATGCTCTGCATAAGAATATAGTTCTATTTGACGCATTTTTTGCGTTGCTCTGGGTACTTTGCGCCGAAGCGGTGTGGAGTTGCGGACGGGCGTGTACTTTCGGCGTAGTTAACCGATTGTGTGTGCTTGAAAGCGATGAAACATTTGGTGGTGTTGCGAGGTGCTACAACAACGCTCTGTCGGAGCCGGCGCGAAGTGCGTTGCGGTTGGTTGTATGGTGTGCGTGCGATTTTCGGATTGCGTGTCATTATGCGATACCTTCTGTGGTGTGTTTTATGCTGGATTTCCGGTGGGAAGAGTTCAATTTCGGGTAGAACCGGATTGATCTGGGGCTAGTATGCGGCGTGTGGACGGGGACTACAACCCAGAAGCGTGCTGCGTCGTGCTCTATTATTCGCTTCTTGATCTGCCTTTAATTAGGTGGGTCTGTTGGAGTGAGGATCTTATTTTTCATCTTTCTGAAAAAGATTCTCGGCTTTTAATGACGACTTTGGGAAAAGCTGCGAGTGGCCTAGCGACTGTTTCGGCGGTTGCAGGGCTGTTTGCGGCTGGCCTCTGTGTTGTTGTTTTGTGCTGGGGGCGACTTGTCGTCTTCTTTAGTATGGAGGATATAAACCTGGTTGATCCTGCCAGTAGTCATACGCTTGTCTCAAAGATTAAGCCATGCATGTCTAAGTATAAACACGTTTTGTACTGTGAAACTGCGAATGGCTCATTATATCAGTTATAGTCCACTCGATAGTACCTTACTACTTGGATAACCGTAGTAATTCTAGAGCTAATACATGCATAAATA